GATTAGAATTAGTCATAGTTAGGATCTATAAATAGGGAGCATCCCTCATTGTTTTTGATAGTCCAGAATTGATGAATAGAAAAGGAACGTTTGTTTAAATCGTGTGTTAGGGTTCGTGAGAATTCGATCATGCAACTGAATTGGTGAGGCTAAGACTTAAGCCAGTTCAACGATTTAGAGAGGCTAAGACCCGATCTATTTCGAGAGTGTAGCGAGGCTAATACCCGAGAGAACTCAAGTATCGTGAGAGAGTTAGGCTAATAACCGAGTCGATCACACCTATCGTCCAGAGCAAGGCCGTGGCGAAGCCGTGATCGAGACAAGTCGGGGGAACGCAACACCCGATCCGTCATCACAGCACCCGTGCGTGCCCAGCAGCACCAGCCACGCCCCGACCATGCCAACGAGCAGCCCGGGTCCCGACCCATGCCTTTCTTATATTCTTTCGAACCCTTGTGTGTGCCTTTGACTGGTTTGACATCGTTTTGCGTGCTAGAACTATATGTGGTATTTTCATGCGTTTTTGTCAAGTCTAAGTGTTAGGTCCAAGTGTTCCAATATCCACGGAACTTCACGAACTACTTGGTTGAACCATGTTCGACCAAGAGTAATTGTGAATGTTTCTCTAAGGTCAAAAGTGTTGATCTTAGTATAATAATTGTTGTAGGTGTTTGACGAGCCGTGCTCGCTGCCTACTCCTGATTGTGTGCCATTTCCGTTGCTATACCAGGTGGGTTTTAATCTAAAATTTGCTATGCCATATGTGTTTATCATAATATTGACTTGGTATGATTTTAGTATGTACGTAAACCATGTAGCCTATCGATGTGAGCTGTTACGGCCGTCGGTACGGTTGTCCCCGTCGATGTAATACGGTTACCTGCGAGGTAAGACTCCGTAAGACCTAATGAAAGGCCGTGCCTTGTCGTCTGGCACGTACCCCCATGAGTTAGGGTAATGAATCCCCTTTCCTTGGCTAATGAAAGATGTGTACACGTGGGTATTATGTTGTGATGTGATTAGGAGACGTGACAGAGAAATTGTTTTATGTTCATACTCTAACCATACCTTCTCTTCATTATTCATGTTGTGATATATGTGCATAGTGGTGAGCACGCTTTTCATCTTGTGCTCATCCCCACCTGCTTTTCACCGATGCAGGTTAAGCAGGAGCTGGGTGACGAGAAGAGGCGAGTGGGTCGGTCATTTCTATTTATCTCTTCCGTATGATTAAGGCTTTATGAACCCTTTCGTTGAGACTTGATTATGTTATTTCCCAGAACCTATGATTTGTTGTTTTGGAAAATTTGTGGAACCCGAATTGTTGGGTATTATGGTTTGATGATATATGCATGTTGAGTATTATGCCTCGTGATGTGTTCGGTTAATGAAAACTATTTGTGAAAACCGGGTAATGAATCCCCGTGAGCCCAGATAAGACTTGGGTTAAGAAAAATGTTGTTTAACACCCATTGAATTTTCGAAAATGATTTTGAAAATTTTACACAGATTTTTGGAAAGTCCGGAATTTCTTTAAACTCAAACTGGGGTGTTACAGAGAGGGCCGGAGTCAAGGAGAGGCTCGACCGTGCTTTATACTCTGAGGCATGGACGAGGGTGTTTGCGACCACGGTTGTAACACACCTCCCTCTATTTGGATCCGATCATGCCCCCTTCTGATCCAGTGTCGGTTCTCTACTTCCCCATGCCGCTCTTCCTTTCGGTCCCAGAATATGTGGGTCCGTCACCATTTTTGTTCACGACATAGTTAGAACCTCTTGGCAGCAGACTACACACCTTTATAGGATGCACAAACTGGAGGAGAAACTCAGGAGACTCTGACGTGTTTTGAAGTAGTGGAACTGGACGACTTTTGTCGACATTACTCAGTGCCTTACTGCAGCTCATACTGCATACGCGGAGGCTGAACAGAACTATGATCTGGACTCTTCACCAGAGAATAGAACCGAGATGCACCGCTGCCATGTTGAGTATTAGTTGCGCTTCCTTATGGAGGAAGATTTCTGGAAGCAGAAGGCTGCTGTGCGATGGGTGACTGAGGGGGAACGTAATACCAATTTCTTCCAGGGGTTTGTGAGGCAGAAGCGGGTCAAGTCGTATATCTATAATATCGAGGATAACGGGTCATCCGTGACCCAGGAGTCCCAGATACGGGAGTTGGCTAAGTCATACTTCCACTCCCTCTTTTCCTCTGAGTGGGACTTACTTACGCACCCCAACCCTGCCCTTTTTTTGACCATCCCGCAGTCGGTCGACCTTATCGGCCTTTGCGACCTTCCGAGTAAGGAGAAGGTCAGAGAGGCTATGTTTCGGATTGATCCCAACAGTGTCTCTGGCCCGGATGGTTTCTCGTCCCTCTTCTTCCAGTCATGCTGGGAGATTGTGGGAACTGACGTAGAGGAAGTTGTAAGGGATTTCTTCTCTAGCCACTGGATGCCAGAGTCCTTCACAATAACCTCCATGATTTTGATCCCTAAGAGACCTGGACCGAGCTCCTGGTCTGACTATAGACCTATCAGTTTATGCAATGTGACTAACAAGCTCATCTCTAGGATCCTTAATGGGCGTCTCACCCCTCTCCTCCCCTCCCTTGTCTCTCCGAACCAGAGTGGATTCATCAAGGATCGAGTCATCAGTGACAATATCGTTTTGTCTCAGGAGATGATTCATGATATCTCTCATGCGAATCAAACACGAACCTCGAACCTCGTATTGAAGCTAGACATGGCTAAGGCATATGATAGGGTCGAGTGGTCGTTTCTTAGGGAGGTGCTGCTTTGGATGGGATTCCCCAACCGCTAGATTAGCTTTGTTGAGGTGTGTGTGGAGCACTGCACGTTCTCGGTTTTGATTAATGGTAGCCCCACGACCTTCTTCCCATCCTCCCGTGGTCTGCGGCAAGGGGACCCCTTATCCCCTTCCCTTTTTGTTCTGGTGGCTGATTACCTCTCTCGCTGCCTTGACGGCTTCATTCCTTACTTTCCGAGGATGACCTACAACAGGCGTAGGTGTGGGCCTCCCATATCTCACCTCTCTTATGCGGATGATATTATTATCTTCACTCGTGCGAATGATAATGGGCTATACGATCTCATGAGTCTTTTAGACCACTATAGTGAGACCTCTGGCCAGCTAGTCAGTGTTAGTAAGAGCATTTTTATCATGGACCACCACATTGCAGATACGTGGGCCCATCAGATCCACGAGTGCACTGGTTTTGCTCGGTGAGACTTACCCATCCCTTACCTTGGGGCCCTCATGTACAAGGGGCATCTCTCGCATGAGCTCTTCATCAATGTCCGTCAGAGGATGATTGACCAGATTTCAGGTTGGTCGCATAGACACCTATCATTCAGGGGTCGACTTGCTCTGATCAAGAGCACTCTTTGTGCCCTCCTTCTTCACCTTCTCGCGGTTCTCGACCCTCATCAATCTACGATCCACGAGCTAGATCAGATCTTAGCCCGCTATTTTTGGATATATGAAGAGGGCTCGCGGGATCTGCGGCAGACCCACTGGGTGAAGTGGGACTCCGTTTGTCGGCCCTATTCTGAGGGTGGTCTCGGGATTCGGCATTTTTTGGATGTTGTCACTGCATTTTTCCTACAGGATGTGGTGGCGCTTTAGGGAGGGTAAGTCTCTTTGGGCCCAGTACCTCCTTCAGTAATATTTCTCGATGGATCTGCCCATCCTTGCATGGTGACGACCATTGCTCGTGATAGTCGATAGTGAAGACGGCTCGCCGTTTTTTGCAGTCGTGCTCAGAAGCACATTTTCTGGACTCTGGGTTCTGGGGAGGTTAGTTCTGGGATGAGTGGTGGTTTGGCGAGGCCCCCCTTTCGAGCACTAGGCCGGTCACTCATTTGCCTTTCTTGCAGGTGAAGGACCTTTGGACGGGGGGATTTTGGGATAGAGATAAGATGGAGGATATTTTAGATGAGGATGGGGGTTTCAGTAGTCTTGAGATTGACCAAATCCAGCAGATACTCATTCTGGAGGGAGGTTCGCATGGCATGAGGTGGAGAATTACATCCTCGGGTACATTCTCTACGTCCTCGGCCTGGGGAGATGTGAGGCTGGGTAACCGGTCTAACCTCCTCTTCGGTGCCATCTGGACCGACTTTCTCACCCCGACTATTTTCATCTTTTTGTGGCGCTTCCTCTTACGGTGCATACCCACTGATACTGTGATGCAGGCGAGGGGGTTCTCATTCCCCTCCTGTTGTCATTGTTGTGTTGAGACTGGCACTTTCGAGATCGAGACTTTTACCCACCTTTTCTATGTGAGTGAGATTGTGAGAAGAGTGTGGGAGCATTATTCTAGATATATTCATATACCCCTACCGACTACAGATAATTTCTTTGAACTTCTGAGTTTTTTCTCACACCGCACACACAGTAGACACGTGGGCTTCCTTATTCCTTGTCTAATCCTGTGGTCCACCTAGACAGAAAGGAATAAAGCGAAGCATAGGGATATTACATTTTCTTGTTCTCACATTATTTTGTAGGTAGACAGACACCTCTCTCTCCTCACCGCCCTAGGCAGACTCACGACAAGAGACTGAACAGGTTGTACACTGCCCCATCGATTGAGGCCACCATCCCCTCCACCTTTCCAGCACCCACGACCCAGGACTGTTGTTTGGCTGAAACCCAAGCCTCCTTGGGTTAAGCTAAACACTGATGGCGCATTTGACAGACATACCAGAGCTGCTGGAGAAGGGGGCCTGATTAG